GAGGCTTCAGCTCAAGGGTTCCACACTGTGTAGAAGACCATCAGAATAAGGCTTCTCTGTGACAGGAGAGCACTGGGGCTTTCGAGTTCCTTTCAATTGGCAAACTTCCAGATGGTGGAAGCTGGAATAACATGGTGTGACCTCTAGGGAAAGTTCCTTAATATATTTCTCAGTGCCTATATGAAGTTAACACAGACAAGCTTGCCAACCTGAGAGTTAAGACTTAAGAAAAACTGAAAAGCATTATGACCTAAGTCATACACACTCCCTCAGTCATCACAGTATTTTAAATTATACTCTACTCAAAAGCCATTGTAAAATATTCAATTGGAAAATATGGCAGCTTATTAATTTTAAATTTGAACAATCTCAGACATGGAATGTTTTCCCTTGAAGTTTCCTTAAGTTCACACAGTGGATGTGAAAACGAAGATGGGTTATCATTGATGAATGAGTGCAGGTTCTTGGAACTCAAATAAGCCAAGGTAAGATCGCCTTTGGAATTTGATAGTAAGATATAGAAACTCACTGTTTTTTTTTTTTTTAAATAAACATCAAAAAAGAGAGCCAAACTCAGAAACTTTTAAACATGGTGTTACTGGTGAAAGAATTTTTGTCTTGTTTACTCACATTTAATTTTGTTGTTGTCGTTGTTCAGTTGTTCAGGGTTTCACTGTGTAACTGTCCTGCCTGTCCTGCAACTCTCTGTATTTTGTAGACCAGGCTAGCCTTGAACTCAAAGAAATCCACCTGTCTCTGCCTCCTAAGTGCTAAGATGTGAGCCACCACCCCCCAGACACATTTAAAGTTTTGATGTAAAGTCAGGCACAGTAGCTCATGCCTGGAATTCTAGTATTTAGGAGGCTGGAGTTGGATGACTACTGTGAGTCTTAAGCAAACCTGAGCCACACAATGTGTTCTAAACATCTGAGCTACAGTCTGAGACGCTGTCTCAGAAAACAAACACAAGATAAATGACATAAAATTCTGGCTTAAATCAATGAATTATGACCACAAGTAAACATCAATAAAGCATCTGCTATTGAAGATGCCGCAGTATTCAGTAGGGTCCCGCGACTGTCAGTTGTTCAGCAGTACAGGGAGGCTGACTAAGGAGTGCACCTGCTAATGAGGGAAGTCCCGAATGTCATTCAAACCACAGATTGCATATATGTGAATCATCTCGTGAGATCTTAGTCACAAAGGGCACAGATGACACGATGCAGAGGATGCAGAGCCTGAGCATTGTCAAGGTAATGGAGAGTGTACTCTAGCACATGAGCATTGCCTTTGCAACAAAGAGTAACAGAACTGAGAACGGTAGAGCGGGGCACGCCTATAATTGCAGCTACTCCAGCGCGGGAGGATTGCTCCAGCTCAAGAATTAAAGGCCAACGTGGGAAACATGGTGAAAACCCTCCTCCTTAGATTTGTTTTAAGAAGACAATATGCACAAAAGGATAGAAAAGAGAAAATCTGGAACATTAATTTTAAAACCACATAGCAAGATATGAAGACCGATCTCTCATCTATCTGTCTGTCTATCTATCTATCTATCTATCTATCTTCTATTCACTCTTCTATTGGCTTTGATCTAAAATTCCTCCCAAATCCACATGTAGACATTTGTCTTTTGTGGTGGTAATAAGAAGTAAGGCCTTTGGAAAATTGCTATGAAAAACATGTCTACCACTGTATCTTGTTTCATACGATAACACAGTAGGGATGACACAAGGCTCTGGCTAAGACAGAGAAGAAGCCCTTAGCAGAAACCGTTGTGAGTCCCTTGAGGCTGAAGTTTCATACCCCATACTGTGAGAATATACATTTCTGTTCTTTATGAATTTCTCAGTCTCTGGCATTTAATTAGAGCAGCACAAGCCAACCAAGATACTGCCTGTCTGTGTATCATTCATTCATCTATCTACCCATCCACTCTCCCATCAATAAATCATCCATCTATCCATCCATCCACCCACCTACCTGTCATCCATCCATCCACCCACCTATCATTCATCCATCAACCCACCTACCCATCATCCGTCCATCCACCCACACATAATCTGTCACCCACCCACCCACCCACCTACCTGTCATCCATCCATCATCTATCCATCCATCATCCATCCACCCATCTACCCACCCACCCATTCACTCATGACTGTCTGTCTGTCTTTTTATCCCTTCTTGACAAGCCTCATCCTCTTGTTTTTCACAGCATGTGTGATTTTCTTCTATATTCCCTGCAAGTGTAGTTCTACATGGGCAGCTTTATACCTTTTTGTGTGTGAATCTCTATTTTTGGACAAAACTTTCCTGAAAAGCCAATTTCTTCCTAAAATGTTTAAAGCTCTTTCTTAAACAAGTTACTCAAAAACAAATCTCAAATGACTTCAGAAAAGCTATTTCTAAGATATAGTAGGCTATTATTTAGTATGTGTCTATTTATGTACTGAGAGTGAGAGTAGAGATCAGTACTACTTGGATTTTAAAGATTTATGTCTTGTACTAAGACTACACATACACGTAACATCTACTAAAATCAAGGTATGCCTAACTCTACACACACACACACACACACACACACACACACATACACACACACACAGAGAGAGAGAGAGAGAGAGAGAGAGAGAGAGAGAGAGAGAGAGAGAGAGAGAGAGACTACTGCTTCACCAATGTAAAAGCAAACGACGACGTGTTTTCTTATTGGGATAGGAATTTCTGCTATGAACAAGATGTACATAGACTTGAAAATTCAGATAGATCCTTTTCTGTGAGACACAATAGCTTTCATTGTGTTTAGACCTTAGTACCAGGTCCATGCCAACAGCTTTGTTAATTTTCATTCAGCAATGTCCAGGGCAATGCTCTATGCCCCTTAATTCCTCCCTGTTTTTACTTTTGACTATCTTTGCAAGATTTTGCAAGGGCTATAGCTAGTAAGACATGGTACCTCTCAGGTCGCCTCTTCCCCCATTTATATACACAAGGACATGAAAAAAGATTTATTGAGAAAAGTATCCTGAAAACTGCAAATACATCCCTATCCCTCATTAACCAAAGGGAATCCCTTCCTAAAGCCCTGTGTCAGGATGGTGTGGCCTTCAGCTTATAGTACTGTATGGAATGGGGTGGAGCCTTTAGGAGTCCTAAAGGTGTAGAGGGAGAGAGTTACATCACTGAAAACATGCCCTGAAGGGGAATTGGCACCTAGGATCCTCCCTGATTTTCTCATGTGCTTTGTGACTGCCTGAAGCTGAACAGCATCCTCTGCCATTTTTTTTTACTTTAAAAAAATTTAAATTAGAAACAATCTTTTTTTTATATATCAATCCCAGTTCCTTCTCTCTCCCACCCTCCCATGCCCGCCACTGTCCCTCATCCCATTTGGAGCAGGCCCTAGGCCCACCCCAGGGGTCTAAGTTGAGAGAATATCCCTCTGTGGGGAATGGGCTCCCAATATCCATTTCTACACTAGGGATAAATACTGCTCCTCTACCAGAGGCTCCATAGACTACCCAGGTCTCCTAACTGACACCCACGTTCAGGGGTCCTGGTTCGGTCCTATGCTGGTTCCCCAGCTGTCAGACTTGGGTTCATGTGTTTCCACTTGCTCAGGTCAGCTGTTTCTGTGGGTTTCCCCAGCATGGTCTTGACCCCTTTGCTCGTCACTCTTCCCTCTCTACAACTGGATTCCAGGAGTTCGGCTCAGTGCTTAGCTGTGGGTCTCTGCTTCTGCTTCCATCAGCTACTGGATGAAGGCTCTAGGATGGCATATAATGTAGTCATCAATCTCATTATAGCCTCTCCACTATTACTTAGATTCTTAATTGGCACCCCCACTCTTAACTATTCACCAAAGGCCCAGTGTAGTAGGGACAAGTGACAAGTGACCCAACTATGAAATGATCTGTCCAAGTAAAACTTTTCCCTTATCAGGTTAATTATCTCAGGTATTTTGTTATATCAATGAAAGGCAGGCTAAACAATGTTGATGTGTATATCCAACCTTAGGTCTTTTATTTCCCTATTTCAATTATTTATTTAATTGAGACAGGGTTTCTCTGTGTCATAGTCCTGGCTATCCTGGAACTCACTTTGTAGACCAGGGTGGCCTCGAACTCACAGAGATCTGCTTGCCTCTGCCTCCAGAGTGCTAAAATTAAAGGCACGTGCCACCATGCCCAGCTTCAATGTGTTTTATGCCACTTGGGTTCACTTACTTGTATCACTCTGTCCTAGTTTAGAAACTGTTATCACTTAATGATGTAAGGACAGTGATGAGTATGCATGCAGCCAGGTAAAACATGGAGACTCACCGAGGGTATCCCTTGTTCCCTTCCTGCAGCTTGAACATTTTCTCTGGTTTTCAGGTGGCAATCTTTTCTACACAATACGAGTTTTGCATAGGAAATGCTGAGAAGATGATTTTACAAAGTGTTTAACAAATGTTAGGGATTGAGAGTCCAGCTAGAGAGGACTACAGGAAGAGAAAAAGAAGCTCCATGTGGCTGAGGTCAGGGCACACTGCAGAGTGGGTGTGTGAGCGGTGCTTCTGTAGAATTATCCTACAGTCAGGAATCATAGAGCTGCCAAGATTACTAGACCCAATTGTCTCACTGAAGATTACATAACTCAAAGAGGATTTCCCCCTGACGGGCAGGAGAGAAATAGAAACCAAGTACTTGATTCCCTTGAAGTGGCTCTTTATTTCTGATCAAATTATTGAAGTGTGCAGTAAAGTCTGATTCTTCTTGACTAAGTATCATTTAATGGTCAGTAGATTATTTCTCAGAAACACTACTTTTAAAATCTCAGTAGCATTAGTTTATTAGTTCCTTCACTTAAAAGCTGTAATGGGGGCGGTGGTCAAAGGAGAACTAAAAACATATTAAGTGGGATGTACTATCGAGAAACAAATGATATATTCTTTTAAGTGAAATTCAAGGTACTGTCACAGAATGTCCGCGGTAAAGTAGCATCAACCTTGGCCTTACCCTTTAATTTCAAGGCTTCTAATACCTTTGAATCAGCGGTCACGTCGCTCACCAACTTGATTTCGATGTTTTGCGACGTCAGTTGGAGCAATTTCTCAAAGAGACGTTGACCCTGGAAGAATATTCAGAGACAAAGGAAGAGAGAAACCTAAATGTTTGCCATTTGGAGTTGGTATAAATAAACCTTTTAAACTTTATGTATTCAGTTTGTAAAAGGCAAGTGCTTCAATGACAGATAGTCACAGATGTGTGAAATTCTCTGAGCTTCATGACTAGAATAGAAACAGGAACGTAGATGGCATTCTGTCTTATCAAGAACTGTGCAATCCAGCAATCTATAATAATAATTTTAATAACAGGACACACATTTCCTTTTGCTTTTAAAGCTGTAGCTATCTGCATATAAGGAGGCAGTGAAAAATATTCAATAGCTACAGTTTGGCCCAGAAAGACCAACTGGTTTTCTAATTTGCAAACCGTGCTTTTTAATCTCACTGATCTCCAGTTTCTTCCTTGTGAATACAGACTATACTGACTTCGAAAGGTTTCTATAATGCCAGCAGAGATCATCAAAACTACTGTGGGCATTTGTGGTTACTGGTTTGCTTCATCTTGTCTAAAAGCTATTTTACTGAACAGAACAAATGTTTTATATTATACTTATATATAAATATAGGTGTTATGTTATAGAAATGTTTACATTTATATAACAAATGCAAAAATTCAGTCTTGCCTGGTAAGAGTCTCACAAGCATATAATCTTTAGATTTATTTAGGGAAGACTGAGCGATGGTGGATTCAGGCATGATTTTATCTTCAGGGATGATGCTGCAATATTATAGTATTTGTTTTCCCTCTGGGTTTAGATAGACACTTCTTATCTTAAAAAGGAACTGGTCTATTGTTATTGACTTTTCATGTTTGTTTGTATGTCCCTCAAACACGAATACCTTCAAAAGGGCCAGCCAGATAATAAGGCTTAGGTTTTAATGGGCCCCAAGTGCACCATTAAGCTTACCTTATCTTGATAAAAATCTGTGGTTGGTAATGATTATTTATAAGGGATTTGGTGATTGGGAGGAGCTGATGAAGCAAATGAGGATGGATACAAATGAGATTCAAATGAGCATGCAAATGAGGATGCAAATGAGAACCCAAGCAGTGATTCCTGAAAAACCTCCTTATGGAGGAGAAAGATCAAAGATTAAAAGCTTAACACTCTAAGGAGCTGGTGTGACAGCTGACAGCAGAAAGGGGTGTCTGGCACCTCTAGCCGGCAGCTGGCCAACAGCCAAAGGTCCATATCTCCTGGGTATTGGAAGACACCTTTTGCCTTGCAGTCTGTTAGTAGAGGTTAAGGTTGCCCAGTGTGGGGCTCATGTCAGACTCTCAGAGTTCTCAGTCCCCCATAGCCTGGGAGCAACTCCACCCCAACACACAGTATGGGGAAATGCATATTTGACAGATGCAAATAACTTTTAACAAGGCCTAAAAAAGAAAGGAAAATGGGGGAGGGTGACCTCCGGCTTCTGGTTTGTTGCTCTTGGTATGTGAGGCTATTCTTTTTCTTACAATTTATCATCTGTGTTTACTTGGGTATGTGTGAGCTGGGCTACACGCACATGGGGCTGGTGGAAGCCAGTCAGAGATACCAGATGCCCTGGAGTTGTAGTGACAGGTGGTTGTGAGCTGTTGGATGTGGGTGCTGGGAACTGGACACTCTGGAAGAGAAGCAAGCGCTCTTAACCCCTGAGCCTCCTCTCCATCCCCTTTGGAGTGTGAATTTTAAGTGAGAGCATAGGCAACATGAGGCTTCATACACAGCATGAGGGCACATTGACTTTGTGGAGCTCATGGCTTTTTCTGTTCCACATAAGCAAGTGTTGTCTGCATGGTACAGATCGCTACCCCACCCCTCCCCTGCTCAACATAGATTCACACAAGTTGGTTGTATTTTCCCCTTTCACACAAACCCTGCTTCGTGTCTTGGCAATATCCTATAGATAGTGGGCCAGTATTTTTTCTTTAGGAGTCCAGTCTAGGAAAACCTGAAGTAAAAGCAACCCTTAACAAAAGCCATCCTCTTCATACAAGTAATGCATAGTAAATATGGCAATGAATAGGATCGAGGAGCTTTTGTCTCAATCATCCTCTTGCAGGATTCTCATAAGGTATGACATTGTTTTTCTACCCTTCTGATTCAGAACGGCACACAAAGCCACACTCTATACCCGCATATCGCTTCCACCATATTTTCTGTGGAGCAGGTGTTGTTTTCAATGCATCATTACTTCCAGCAAGTGCTTTTAGACCTGGTCACCACATCTCCATCACATGTACATACATTGTTCTGAGTCAGGGGTATGAATGGGTCACAAAGGAAAAATAAACAACATGATACAACCTAGGCTGCGCATTCAGTTGAGCCTGTAGGAGTTAATTATATTGGAAGTCCACAGTGTAGTGGGAATGATTATAATGTTTTTCTTGAAGCCAGTTAACTCTGAACAGGTTGTCTATGGAGTATGTAAGCAGAATGAGTACAAAGTTATAAATAACCTCAAAGCATATTATTAACTTGGTTATGGGTTGGGTGAAAGGTTGATGTTTTAAATAGTGTTTTTCAGAAAATACATTCCCACAGCAGCAGAGTTAGAGTTAGGGGTGGGGCGGGGAAGGGACCTGGTGGGTGTTTTTCACTCCACTCAAATGACCCAGAGATACTTGTTCTCCAAGAGGCAAAGCAGGCACCAAGGCAGCACCTCCAGGTCTGGGGCTGAGAGGAAGGAATTGATGGGAGGCTGTTCTCCACTTATCACAATGGAGGACCAGTAAATCCTTCCAATTTACCTTTTTAAACATGGAAAAGAAGAAAAGGCTAGCAACATTTTGATAAAGGGAAGCATCAATAGGTGTAAGTGGATCCATCAGGAAAGGCATGGATATTTGAGCATCACCATGGCTTGAGTGTTGAGTGTCCGCCAGAATCTCATGTGTTACTGTCCAGGTATCCTACAGGAGAAGAGGGGTACATGAGGAGGTGGGAACCCGTGAGAGGTCTTCAGATCTTTGTGATGTCCCTTGATGGGAGTTACAGACATCCTTTCCCCTTTCTCTTTTTGCTGTGTGTCCAACAGCTGAATGGTATTGATCTGCCTTAAGCTTCTAAACAGTACAGCTAACTGACCATGGCTGTCACTTTTCTACACTGTGAGTCAAAATGAATATCTGGTCTTTATAAATTGACTATCATAGGTGTACATCCAAGGGATGGAAAGTTGACTGATATAAACATAGTGGGTGCTTGATGATTCAAAAGTCAGAAGCGTGGACTATACTACAGTGTGAGTTCTCCAGGTTAGTGAGATGTGGTTGGGAAGCTAGGACTTGAGCACTAACGTGCATGAGTAACCGAAGGAAACTAGAGTCACGGTTCAGGTTCAAGCTAGCAGCCTGGGACAAAGTGCTAGAAGTATTTCAAAGAATGTATGTGCATGCCTATACACATGTACATGAATATATGTATGTTCATATATATGTACACACATATGCATACATATAAACAGACCTCGTGTACCCCTCATGTACCCCTCTCCTCCTGTAGGATACCTGGACATCAAAGATTGAAATTCTTACATGCCTGTGGCCAAAGGAAGGAATAAAGTGACTTAGAAAGGTACTCACATCTGATTGGCAAGGAACCAACCAGCCACAGCACAGATGATAGCCTGCACATGAACTTTACATGTGGGGGTGGAAGAGAGAAGTATTTGCAGATATGTAGAGATTTAGCAACTTTTCTGTATTGGGGATATTCGATCACACTGTGAACCCTGAGACTGAGGAAGGATGTGCATTTTGGGAGATGCCAGCAAGGAGAGAATGTTAGATAGGTACTACTCAACCACTCTCTGAGCTAGTAGGTTTTCACCCCAGCTTTTGAATCTTGAATTTTATTTATAAATAGAAGGAGAGAGATTTAGTTAAAGCTGTCTTTAGCAGCAGTGGTAGAGCCAGTGTCTGTGGGAACAGAATTCCCACCAGGCTGTGGCCTGAGCAGCAGGGTCGTTGCCAGAGAGGCAGGCTGGTAACTAGAGTTTCAGTTGCTGGCTGAAGTAGCAGCCACTATGCTGAAAGATAAAACGATACATTGGACACTACTCCTGCCTGTATACCCCCATGTAAGGAAGGACACTAACTAAATAGAAACAAAACAAAATCCACTGAACACTGTTAAAGCAGATGGAGGGGAAAACAAATGGGTGGGGCATACTATTTTCTGCACTAATATTAAATACATTTGCTAAATAAAGATTCCTCACAGAAGAGATGCATTATGTAAAACAGGAGCAGGTGTGTCAGAGACCCTGAAACAACAGACTGGAAAGAATTACAATTTCTCCAGGGAATCCTTGCAGGGTGAGTCTTGGTGCCAGAGAAGCAGCTGTCTCCTGTGTAATGAGTCTATGTGTATGTGAAATATCAATCATAGTTTGCTGTACTTTTTCAGATATTTTATAACAGGAGGCTATTGCCAATACAATGAGAAAATTTCCAGTTGTCCATTTTAAAAATGAAGTACTAAGCCACAGATGTTAATGCACACCCATAATCCATGCGCTCAGTTAGTAGAGGCAGGGAGTTTGCTGCAAGTTCAAGGTCATCTATGGATATCTAGTGAGACCTGGTTTCAACTCAAAACACCAAGGCAAAAGTGACAAACAAAACAACAAAATGAAGGAAGGGAGGAAAGAAGAAAGGAAGGAAGGCAGGGAGGGAGGGAGAGAGGGAGGAAGGCCGGGATGGAGGGAGACAGGGAGGGAGAGAGGAGGGAGAACTAAAAGAAGAGCTATTGTAAGATAGGAAATACGTAGAGGGGGAAAGAGAAAACAACCAAGCAACCAAAGCCCTGGGGCTCATATAAGATAAGCTTAGTCTTCACTTCATTCAGAGACTTAGGAAGAATGCCTTTGGAGCTATGATTTATTGACTCCTATATTACTGGCTTTGGGAGAAATCACACAGGTTGAAGGCCTGCCAAGAATGTTACTTATGCATTTGTATCAGAATAATGATCTCCCCTTGGAAATATACTGGAATGCAAGCAAGAGC